AAGATAGCCAACATTGCCTAACCCAAACAAGGTTCTAGAACCCCCTATTTCCAACAGGTACAACCTAAGTTCAGTCTCAATATTCAATGTTAATCAAACATGAAAGTATACAAAAAAGTTCCTTTAACCAACCATCATGTTTTTATCTTCAAATTCAAGACATAAATCAGATTTGGCCTCTAGCAGCTCCAACATGCTCCTGACTAAAATTAAAAATGTTTTTTTGAGATTAGTTCAAGCCGTCCCAATTCTTGGATCCTTTCATTCTTGAATCCTTTTTTTGGAAATATTTTTTGTTCAAGGACAGCTGTATTTCTAATCCTACGATAGCCGAAAATTCACCTGTGTTTGAATAAATAATGCATTTGCGTTCTTCGACCTCAGCATGAGTAAACCCATTTAAGTGCAGAATTCTAAAAATTGGAAACTAAACATTAAAATAAAAAGTAACGGTTCGTTATTTTAAATTAATGGTTCGTTATATTTGCCAGTTCAATCGACTAACATCCAAAAATATCCGATTTATAGAAAACTAGTTACAAATAGCAAGTTTAAAAAATGGCTTAAGTAATTGAACATTTCAAATAATAATCATTAAACAAATTAGTTACTAAAGAATTACTCAAACTTGGTCAAAAAATATTTAAATAATTGTTTTATTTGTCAATCCATTGACTGATAATGAGAAGCAAAGAAAATTTTATAAAAAGATAGCTTAACTAATTCAAAATTTCGAACAATAAGCATTAAATAAAGTTGAAACTCACTGCATCTGCTTCACACAAGTGCTTTTTCCACTCTCAGCTGGGCCTGAAAATAAAATTAAAAAAATATTTCAAATGTCTAAGAAGATTGAAAGAACCGGCCAGATTTTGGCACTTACTATATGGTGTGTAACATAATTATAAAGGAACCCATATTTTCGGTCATATCTCTAGTTTTTCTGGATGAATTGGGCTGAATTTTATATATGTGATAAAAACCCTTATTTTGGCATAAAATGCAAAAAATGAAGCGGTTTTATCAAAATTTAAATTTTTTATGATTTTTTTTCAAAAATTTTGGTGTAACATAATTATAAAGGAAGTAAAATAATTTAACTAAATATTGTAGAAAAAATCCATAAAAATTCCAGTGAACATATCTATTGATATCAATGAGAAATACAAAAGAAACGAAGTTCTAATATACTCCCATCATCGAGATCTCGAAACCCGAAAATCAACGGAAAACGGGGGGTAGATGTCTTTAAAAAATATTTTCGACCCCTTACAGGTGAAATAAAATTTTCATTTTGGGCTTATTTGAAAGACCTTGAAATTTGCTACAAGATAGGTTTCATTTCATAATCCAGAAAAAATTTATTCTTGAAAAATAATGAGTTTTGTTTATAAATTACATTTTCATCATTTTTTGGGGGGCGTTTGAGTGATTTCTTTGACCTGAAAGATTATCACATTAGGTCTTATAGGTGAATTTTTTTCGGAAAATAAAATTAATGCTATCTTGTAGCAAATTTCAAGGGCTTTCAAATAAGCCCAAAATGAAAATTTTATTTCACCTGTAAGGGGTCGAAAATATTTTTTAAAGACATCTACCCCCGTTTTCCGTTGATTTTCGGGTTTCGAGATCTCGATGATGGGAGTATATTAGAACTTCGTTTCTTTTGTATTTCTCATTGATATCAATAGATATGTTCACTGGAATTTTTATGGATTTTTTCTACAATATTTAGTTAAATTATTTTACTTCCTTTATAATTATGTTACACCAAAATTTTTGAAAAAAAATCATAAAAAATTTAAATTTTGATAAAACCGCTTCATTTTTTGCATTTTATGCCAAAATAAGGGTTTTTATCACACATATAAAATTCAGCCCAATTCATCCAGAAAAACTCGAGATATGACCGAAAATATGGGTTCCTTTATAATTATGTTACACACCATATATCCTAAAATTTTGTAAAATTTTTTTGTCAAACTACGCGTTTGGCATCCAAAAAATAAACATATACACGCGACCTATGAGCAAGTAATACTTTAAAAATACATATCGATAAACCTCAAACTACTTTTAAAAATTAATATTAATCAAAATTAAAATATTCGTATATTGTTTTTCAACATTGCACCCTAATGCTTATTGTATTCATAAGTCAGCCTAATCTTTAAATATCATAAAATAAAAGCAATTTGCCATACTAAAGGTATGACTTCCAAAAATATAAAAAGAAACAACAGATGGCCCAACAACGGTTATTTTTTAAAAATAATAAAAGGTAAATTAATTTAAATTGAATATTAAGTAAAATTTTCTATAAAATTTATGCATATTTATGCGGGAATAATACTATTCAAATCTACCTAGCAAAAGCAGTTTTTGAACAAGTTCTTTCGGATCCACTTGTAATTGCTTGTCGATTCGATTAGAAACATTTCGAGCTTTTATCACTTCAGTAGATTGACAAACACCCATTTTATCAATTTTTAAATAAAATTCAATAAAATATACACTAAAATTGGCTCAAATTTTATTTCTAAAAATGTTGCCTTAATTAAAGACATAAAGCAGTAAAAAGAAAAAGATTGTAGCATAGCTTCGTTAATTAAGCGTTTATGCTTATGCCTGACTTAACTTTACTCAGAATACTTTTAAGTAATAAAACGTAACGGCGGCAACCGTTTTGAGGGTAATAAAGGCGCTAGTATGGCTTTGGCATGAATAAAAGGCTTAAGGTCACACGCTAGGCTCTGCTTTTTAATTATAGACATACAAAATTTTTTTGATTTTATCTGTAATTGAGGGCCGATTGAATTAAAAATTCTATTAGAAATTTCTTTTTTAATCAAAGCTAGTCAAAAATGCAAGTAAACGGGCCCAATATTATTCGGTGATGCGACTTTTGCGGCGCGTACACTTGCGGCTCAGACATTTGCGGCCCAGACACTTGCGGCTCGCCCCTATTTTGACACTTGCGGTCCCGACACTTGCGGCTAAGAAATTTTCGGCGCAGACATTTGCGGCTATCAACTTGAGGCCCAGACACTTGCGGCCCAGACTATTGCGGTTTTGACATTTGAGGCTCCCCCCTATTGTGACACTTGCGGCCCGACATTTGCGGTTTTGACATTTGCGGCCCCGAAATTTGCGGCCATGATTAAAAAATTAAGTAAATTAAAATAAAAAACCCTAATTTATCGTTCAATTAATATCGGTCAATAGATTTTGATTCCAATTCTCAAATCTATAATGAGAGATTTTTCTCAAATTCTAACTCTCAAATCCTTAACTCAATGTATTAATTATCCTGGGTAATTATTGTTTCGTTACTATTGTTCATAATAGATGTATACATAAAGGTCAGATGCACTTAATACAATTTGAGACGAAATTATTTTTTGATAATGATAAATGCTATTAATAAAAGAAATCTAGGTATATTTGAGGAATTTTTAGGGAGATATAAGGTTGATATTAAAGGAAATATCACGGGACTTAGATGGATTAATCTTAATTACTCACCCCCCCTCCCTTCACCAATCCTTTTAATTTCTCTTAATTCACATAAATTCCGCGATATCTTCTCCAAATCCTTCTATTCTCTTTATTTATTGATCCTTAAAATGCCCATTATTAAAATTGTACTGATTTTTAATAAATATTTAAAAATTAGCATGGAAAAATAGTGGTAAAATTAAAAAAATTACTTTAAAAATTAATTAAGATTACTTTTTCATTAAAAAATTTACTTAATTTTTAATCATGGCCGCAAATTTCGGCGCCGCAAATGTCAAAACCGCAAATGTCGGGCCGCAAGTGTCACAATAGGGGGGAGCCTCAAATGTCAAAACCGCAATAGTCTGGGCCGCAAGTGTCTGGGCCTCAAGTTGATAGCCGCAAATGTCTGCGCCGAAAATTTCTTAGCCGCAAGTGTCGGGACCGCAAGTGTCAAAATAGGGGCGAGCCGCAAGTGTCGGGGCCGCAAATGTCAGAGCCGCAAGTGTACGCGCCGCAAAAGTCGGCTAATCTATTATTCTAAAGGACTCTAGGAGTGAGTTAATGACTTGATAGGGTTGTGAGGCTGGATTGAACATTTTTGAATTTAATCGACTTCTCATGTTAAAATCCCATTCGAAGAATTGTGAAAATAATTCTATTTTTGTTGTATTGGCCTACCTTAAAAATCCCTAGCTTTTAAACTTGTCCATTTTAAAGGTACGGAAGTAATATTTTTAAGACAAAAAAATATTTTCCTCACAAACATAAAAACGGAACTTAAAGTACAAAAAGAAAACGAGATTTAACACCTAATACTGTTAAAAAACAGAATATCCCACAAGAAACAAACTAGAAAATTTGAAGCACGAAAAACTTCAATTATAAAGTTACTGAATAAAAAGCTAATAAAATTATTACCTTCTTAGAAATACAAAAATGGTTAACAAAAAAATATAATTTCTAGGCTTAACGATTTTCTTATGATTATTTTAGAATGTAAAATAATATAAGGAGTAATTTGAGGTTAAGTTAAAGTTAACAATAAGCTGAAAATAAAAAAAATTATATTAAGCAAAAAATTAATATTAAGTAAAAAAATAAAATAATAATATGGCAGGTGAATTTAAAATAATTCAAGATTAATTATTCATAATAGCAGATGATTTAATTTGATCAAATAAAATGTGTTATTAGAAAAATGCTAGCAGAGAAACAGAGTTGTCAAAGTACGGATTGAGTAAATTGAGGCATTTGCATTTCTAAAATCGAGTTGCGGACATCGATTTTAAACAGTGAAAGCGAACGCAATGAAAGACTGTAAAACAAGAATCCGTTCGTGGAATCGATTAATAAAAAATATTCTGTGGACTATGGTCCCGAACTTTTTTAATTAATCTTAACCATCTTAAAGACTTTTTTTACTTATTTAGTTTCCCTAAAATTTTTTATTTTGCAAAATTTTAAAGAAAATAATGAAAGAATGAATGAAAAATAAAATTTTAATTTTTTGTAGCACTCTGTTGTTGTTGTGAATTGGCCGTATTTGTAATTAATCTTGCAGTCAGGTCTTTCTGAAAAATAAATTTTATACCAAAGAAAAGACAGTCCTCACTAGATTCTTCCCTTGGGCTGATAATTATGTCTTAAAATGAGGGGCTTCGAATAATCAGGTTTAGTATTCTCTAGATATCCCGCTTAATCCTCCAAACAACCTGATATCTTCATAATCTCTAAACAGAGGATATCATGGGATTTGGAAGGATTAGGGAGGATATAAGTAGATTTGACCGATATCGAAATATTTGAGGAGATTCAGGATTTGAGGAGATTCCAGGTGATTTAAAATGATTATCAATGTCATTGAAAATTATAAAGGAATTTGGTAGGGAACTGCCCTCTAACGAAGCTGTTATCTCAAAAAAAGGAGCTCTATCGAAATGATTATGACCAAACTATTGGGCGCCCAAAAAATAGCCAAATTTAAAATTGGCTCCCAAAAAATTATAGTCCAAAAGTCAAATGAAGCCCAGATAATTCTATTTAAATATTCTATAAATTTATTTATACAAAGGCTTTAACTAATGTAATATTATGCAAACTAGAGACCAAACGAATCTTAAAAATAGTATAACTTAAAGCAAGTATGTCCCGACTTTATCTAGTATGAGTGCATCTTATTAGCGACGACTAGAGAAAGGACTGAGAGAATCGCTTGGGGAGGGTCCCTGGAGAACTGAAAGATCGGTTCGATACGATCTCTAAGCATGATGTCCTTCCAACGAGAGTTTGCCTAATTTGCAATGAAAAAAACGTTTTTTGCTATAAAATGTTTGAAAATTGAGAACAATTTTGTACAAAGAGGGATCTAAGAGTAATGTCCTCGTAAAATAATTAGCCAAATTTAGAATTGGCTCCCAAAAATAAAAGCTCCAAATAAGAACAATCAAAACTCCATATGACAAACAAATAATTCTATTTGAATATTAATGGTCTCTAAAAAATATAATATTGTACAAATTAGAGTTGGGCTTATTATCCAATCCATTAATCAAATTTAAAAAATTGAGGTTGGGAGTATCACTAATTAATCTAGTATGCGTGTAACTCATAATGAGGACTAGAAATCGGACTGAGAAATCTTATGGGGAAGAAATCTCGGAGGGTCCCTGGGGTTAGGAGAAGATACTAGGAATTGGAGATGATAATAGGAGGTTGTTGGATAGAGGATCGAAGGGTGATTGTGCTGGAACTTCGGGGGTCAAGAAAGTTACTTATCTCCAAAAATCTTGAACTAGATAATCGAAACATTTGTTCAAATCTCATCTCAGTCCATTCCCTATGAGGAATGACTATAACAAAAAAATAATATTCACCAAAGCATCCAATTCTCGTTGAGTAACCAGTGAAAATTCAGTAACAAAATAATAATAATGTTTGTAAAGCATGTTGGCGTGTGGTTCCTGAGTTAAAAAATGAAAATTTTTTAGAAGTCTCCTTTTTTACTCTTATTGCCTATGGTCGTTCAGCCGCCTTAAGGGATCTAGTATTCTTAGAAGTGTAAGGATCATCTGGCGGCATTTAAAAAATATTAGGAGGGTTTAAAGATAAATACAAGGTAAATGAGAAGGCAAGGTTTCCTGATGCTTTAATATATATAGCCATAGTAAAACTGGCTTCCAAAAATTTCTAGCGCGGAGCCGAGGATGGATAGTGGATAGACCATAATTTAAATTTTAGAATTTAAATTGACATATTTGTACATTTAAATATTATTTAAATTTTCTGAACTAATCTCAAAATTTTTTGGAATTTCACTATAAAATTTGCCAAAAATGGTTTCGAAGATAAGGAGTAAAGGCATAGTCATGAAAAATTAAGCGCCTTCACTTATAGTGTTCTGCTAACAGAGTTACCGGCTATCTGGGGCGCTTCTTCTCCCTCACTTTTAAAAGGTATCCTCCTGCCTGATAATCTCCGACTAATAAGTTATTAAATGCTGCCAGCTTGATCTGCAACTTTTCCTAACCACAAGGAACTTATCAAAAAAGGAAATATGTCAAGAAATGTTCTAGAGACCCTACAAAGATCCAAAATATTTTTTAAAAATAATTTACCGCTCCAATCTGAACAAGCTTTTCAAAGTGATGAATATAAATGTGAACAAATATCCGGAAAAGTCTTGACAATATTTTCTTGCAAGTTTGTCGAAAATCATTGGGAAAGGGAACATCTAAAAATTAAAAAATTGAATTGAGTGAAAGTTAATAAGCCCTAGGAAATGTATCAGATGGGGTAAATCTTGAATGAACTAGAAGTCAAACTAAGTAAAAAAGCCTGATAAACTATCTCGGCTTCTAAAAATAAAAGAACAAAGCCTTGTATGCACAACTTGCATCAATTAACTTATAGATATATTAGTAAATGATTTTGAATTAATTAATACTTATCAAATTTTAACAAAGTTGTATATAATATATTTAAATTACACCCAATACATAGTACAAGATAACCTCGTTGGCATAAGTGACACCTCAATATAAGCTACGCTAATTATTAGAGACAGACATAGATTGGTACACTATAGCGAGGTCCGACAATAGTTAAATATATACCCCCATTTCAAGGTATAACTTTCACTATTAGACTAGACATTTCTGCCCCAAGGGATCTTATAAGGAGGCCCGACCGTATTAAAATAACTAAAATTCACCAGTAGTAGAAGGGAAAATTTTCTCATTATTTATACGCTCTTCAATCCAATCCATTAATTTGTGCATGTAATCCTTAAAAATAAAAAAATACGAAAAAAATTCGTGTCCGAATACTTTAGCAGGCAGCCTTGTCGGTTTTTTGTATTCAACTCCATCCTGCCACAAATACTCGTATTTTGCTCCTCCACACATTGTTGGGCACGATTCTACTGTACAACTATCAGCCAATATTCCATAGAGTAAATTTATTCGATTGAAAAAGTCGACAGCTAAAAATATTTTGGCTGTAGTGTAGTGTACCGGTGGTAAAAGTTCGGGACGTGACATATGTCATTCGATTCGTCTCGCCGAGCTGAGTCGAACGGTACCACTCCCTACTTTAGGAAATGATTCTGGACCGAGTTATAGGTCCCGAAAAATTGAAAAACCAAAGGGGGGACCAAGCACTTTTTTGGGGTGAAAAATTCGAATATGCAAATAATACCTCATTCGAAAGAGCTCGTCGAGCTGAGTCGAATGACACCAAAATCAACGAAATCCGACTTGATTGGACAAAGTTATGATCTTTTATTTTAGCTCCTTACCTATGGCATCTGTTGAGATTTTTGCTTCTACGGAGGCCACAAATACGTCCAGAGCAAGGGATTTAGGAATAGGTTTATGTTACGAGCCCAGACCCAGCGCCCGTAGACTCCCCGCGAGGTGCGTGCCGCAAAACCCCGCGCGAAGCGCGGGGTTTTGCACAAGCGCCTCGCCGACGCCCCATAGGTTTAGGTTTTTTTGTTTTTTGTGTCATAACTTTGTCTAATCTTATTCAATCACGGTGATTTTGGTCTCATTCGACTCAGCTCGTCGAGCTCTTTCGAATATTGTATTATTTGTATAAAAAAAATTTTTATTCCAAAAATCGCCCCTTTGGATCTTTGGTTTTTAGGGGTCTATATCTCAGTCCTATCAAGTCGGATTTTGTTGATTTTGGTGTCATTCGACTCAGCTCGACGAGCTCTTTCGAATGAGGTATTATTTGCATATTTGAATTTTTCACCCCAAAATCGAGCTTACTCCCCCCTTTGGTTTTTCAATTTTTCGGGACCTATAACTCGGTCCAGAATCATTTCCTAAAGTAGGGAGTGGTACCGTTCGACTCAGCTCGGCGAGACGAATCGAATGACATATGTCACGTCCCGAACTTTTACCACCGGTACACTACACTATATCCAATATTTTGATTAAATTTTAAGGTGAATTAATCGGTAAAAAGAGTTTGAGAGAGACTAGGTTGCGGCTACGGCACTTTTAAATCGTGGTTACAGCTCTGGATTGAGCAGTCAAAATCTTAGCTAAGGTAGCCTTCTCCGAAGCCATAACCAGTACTGAAGATGTTCCATAAATACAGTTAATGAGACTCGGCATGCTATTATTTGCTTTGGCCCCAGGTGGTTCATTTATTTATCACTCGAAGCGGATCAAGAGCCATTTTGAAATGGTAGAAGCCATGATTTGAAAGAGAAAGGAAAAGGTCCACCCAATACTCAACAATGCTTTATAATCAATTAAATTGACTTCCAAAAATATTACATCCCCAAACGACCATCGCTACACATTTTCTGTAGTATGTATTCTTGTTAGATATTTCAATAAATATTAAAGAGAATATTTTGCAAAACTAACGGAAAATCTAATAAATAAAAAAAAAACCACCCACTATTTACAGCTAGCCAATCATCCAAAAATTCATTTGGGGGTAGACGCACAACCTGCTTCAAATCAACACCAGAATTGAGTGTTGCTTGGGCTTGTTTGTGCAAATTGTGACGAAGGGTGCCGTGAGGAAAGCGCTTTTTGGGACGAAATGTCTAAAAAATAAAAAAATAATTTGTAAAAGGTGAAGATTATTATAATATTTTGGAATAACGATAGAAAATTAGCCAAAACTAGAATTGATTCCCAAAAAAATAAATATCATTATTTAAAAAATAATAGTTTTTATTTTAACATGCTAATTTTTAACATAATTTTTGATTAATTCAATATTGTACAAATTATAGGTCTAGAAGTTTTAAAGATAGTTCAGGCACCTGAGATAATATTAAAAAATAAAACTCACTTTCTGCTTGTTCATATGTAGAAAGTCGAAGAAACTAGTTGCCATGTCCTTTGCGAGCATATTTAAATTAAATTTGAAAATTGAGTGTAGTCAAAAACAATAATGCTTGCAGTTAAAAGATTGAATAAAATTGGCAGTTGAAACAAAGTTGAAAATTGAAAAATATCAACCTAAACGAGATTTATTTAATAATTTTATAGTCTGCTACGAAATTTAGCCAATTTAAATGGCTTTCAAAAATAACCGACAAAAAAGAAGTTAAAAAGTGCAACAAACTCAATTACCCTTTTTTAATTTAGAGATTCAATTAATAAATATTATGCACTTTTACCGAGTTCTACAAATAATTTCAACAAAATTTTCAAGGGTTTTTGATCGAAATAAAAATTTTTTGGTAGGATTTAATTCAAAAACAATTTTTCGAACAAAAAAGGAATAAAATGACAAAATAAAATTGCTTTCCTCCCTCTTTATAAAATAAAAGTGAATCAATATTTTATTTAACCACACAGAGTGAGCACATGGATTTTAGTTAGAAGAGTATGAATAATGACTAGATAGAGTGTGAGCTTTTATTTATAAGAGCGCCTACTACTATTTTTACACTAAACAAGTTCGTTTTTTCTGCAAGGGGGAATACGCACGCTGAGAAAAAAGTTCTTTTTTTTTCTTTGATGGAGAAGTTTTAGTTGTTTTTTAATAAATTTGCATCTGTCAATTGCATATTGTATAATATCTTATTGTATTTGATAGGGTACAAGTCAGGCTCGTATATTAGATACTATATTTAATGGAGATTCGAATGGTATATCGTAACCCCATTCGCGATAATTACTTCATCGGGCAAATCCACTTTGAAAATATCAGTAAAAAAATAACTCAAAATTATTAATCCATAAATAACTTACGGTATATTAATAGGGTATAGTTCGACTTGGTATATTAGATACTATATTTAATGGAGATTCGAATGATATATCGTAAACCAATTCGCGATGATTACTTCATCGGGCAAATCCACTTTGAAAATATCAGTCAAAAAAAAATAATCAAAAATTATTAATCCATAAATAACTTACAGTATATTAATAGGGTATAGTTCGTCTTGGTATATTAAATACTATATTTAATGGAGATTCGAATGATATATCGTAAACCAATTCGCGATGATTACTTCATCGGGCAAATCCACTTTGAAAATATCAGTCAAAAAAAAATAATCAAAAATTATTAATCCATAAATAACTTACAGTATATTAATAGGGTATAGTTCGTCTTGGTATATTAAATACTATATTTAATGGAGATTCGAATGATATATCGTAAACCAATTCGCGATGATTACTTCATCGGGCAAATCCACTTTGAAAATATCAGTCAAAAAAAAATAATCAAAAATTATTAATCCATAAATAACTTACAGTATATTAATAGGGTATAGTTCGTCTTGGTATATTAAATACTATATTTAATGGAGATTCGAATGATATATCGTAAACCAATTCGCGATGATTACTTCATCGGGCAAATCCACTTTGAAAATATCAGTCAAAAAAAAATAATCAAAAATTATTAATCCATAAATAACTTACAGTATATTAATAGGGTATAGTTCGTCTTGGTATATTAAATACTATATTTAATGGAGATTCGAATGATATATCGTAAACCAATTCGCGATGATTACTTCATCGGGCAAATCCACTTTGAAAATATCAGTCAAAAAAAAATAATCAAAAATTATTAATCCATAAATAACTTACAGTATATTAATAGGGTATAGTTCGTCTTGGTATATTAAATACTATATTTAATGGAGATTCGAATGATATATCGTAAACCAATTCGCGATGATTACTTCATCGGGCAAATCCACTTTGAAAATATCAGTCAAAAAAAAATAATCAAAAATTATTAATCCATAAATAACTTACAGTATATTAATAGGGTATAGTTCGTCTTGGTATATTAAATACTATATTTAATGGAGATTCGAATGATATATCGTAAACCAATTCGCGATGATTACTTCATCGGGCAAATCCACTTTGAAAATATCAGTCAAAAAAAAATAATCAAAAATTATTAATCCATAAATAACTTACAGTATATTAATAGGGTATAGTTCGTCTTGGTATATTAAATACTATATTTAATGGAGATTCGAATGATATATCGTAAACCAATTCGCGATGATTACTTCATCGGGCAAATCCACTTTGAAAATATCAGTCAAAAAAAAATAATCAAAAATTATTAATCCATAAATAACTTACAGTATATTAATAGGGTATAGTTCGTCTTGGTATATTAAATACTATATTTAATGGAGATTCGAATGATATATCGTAAACCAATTCGCGATGATTACTTCATCGGGCAAATCCACTTTGAAAATATCAGTCAAAAAAAAATAATCAAAAATTATTAATCCATAAATAACTTACAGTATATTAATAGGGTATAGTTCGTCTTGGTATATTAAATACTATATTTAATGGAGATTCGAATGATATATCGTAAACCAATTCGCGATGATTACTTCATCGGGCAAATCCACTTTGAAAATATCAGTCAAAAAAAAATAATCAAAAATTATTAATCCATAAATAACTTACAGTATATTAATAGGGTATAGTTCGTCTTGGTATATTAAATACTATATTTAATGGAGATTCGAATGATATATCGTAAACCAATTCGCGATGATTACTTCATCGGGCAAATCCACTTTGAAAATATCAGTCAAAAAAAAATAATCAAAAATTATTAATCCATAAATAACTTACAGTATATTAATAGGGTATAGTTCGTCTTGGTATATTAAATACTATATTTAATGGAGATTCGAATGATATATCGTAAACCAATTCGCGATGATTACTTCATCGGGCAAATCCACTTTGAAAATATCAGTCAAAAAAAAATAATCAAAAATTATTAATCCATAAATAACTTACAGTATATTAATAGGGTATAGTTCGTCTTGGTATATTAAATACTATATTTAATGGAGATTCGAATGATATATCGTAAACCAATTCGCGATGATTACTTCATCGGGCAAATCCACTTTGAAAATATCAGTCAAAAAAAAATAATCAAAAATTATTAATCCATAAATAACTTACAGTATATTAATAGGGTATAGTTCGTCTTGGTATATTAAATACTATATTTAATGGAGATTCGAATGATATATCGTAAACCAATTCGCGATGATTACTTCATCGGGCAAATCCACTTTGAAAATATCAGTCAAAAAAAAATAATCAAAAATTATTAATCCATAAATAACTTACAGTATATTAATAGGGTATAGTTCGTCTTGGTATATTAAATACTATATTTAATGGAGATTCGAATGATATATCGTAAACCAATTCGCGATGATTACTTCATCGGGCAAATCCACTTTGAAAATATCAGTCAAAAAAAAATAATCAAAAATTATTAATCCATAAATAACTTACAGTATATTAATAGGGTATAGTTCGTCTTGGTATATTAAATACTATATTTAATGGAGATTCGAATGATATATCGTAAACCAATTCGCGATGATTACTTCATCGGGCAAATCCACTTTGAAAATATCAGTCAAAAAAAAATAATCAAAAATTATTAATCCATAAATAACTTACAGTATATTAATAGGGTATAGTTCGTCTTGGTATATTAAATACTATATTTAATGGAGATTCGAATGATATATCGTAAACCAATTCGCGATGATTACTTCATCGGGCAAATCCACTTTGAAAATATCAGTCAAAAAAAAATAATCAAAAATTATTAATCCATAAATAACTTACAGTATATTAATAGGGTATAGTTCGTCTTGGTATATTAAATACTATATTTAATGGAGATTCGAATGATATATCGTAAACCAATTCGCGATGATTACTTCATCGGGCAAATCCACTTTGAAAATATCAGTCAAAAAAAAATAATCAAAAATTATTAATCCATAAATAACTTACAGTATATTAATAGGGTATAGTTCGTCTTGGTATATTAAATACTATATTTAATGGAGATTCGAATGATATATCGTAAACCAATTCGCGATGATTACTTCATCGGGCAAATCCACTTTGAAAATATCAGTCAAAAAAAATAATCAAAAATTATTAATCCATAAATAACTTACAGTATATTAATAGGGTATAGTTCGTCTTGGTATATTAAATACTATATTTAATGGAGATTCGAATGATATATCGTAAACCAATTCGCGATGATTACTTCATCGGGCAAATCCACTTTGAAAATATCAGTCAAAAAAAATAATCAAAAATTATTAATCCATAAATAACTTACAGTATATTAATAGGGTATAGTTCGTCTTGGTATATTAAATACTATATTTAATGGAGATTCGAATGATATATCGTAAACCAATTCGCGATGATTACTTCATCGGGCAAATCCACTTTGAAAATATCAGTCAAAAAAAATAATCAAAAATTATTAATCCATAAATAACTTACAGTATATTAATAGGGTATAGTTCGTCTTGGTATATTAAATACTATATTTAATGGAGATTCGAATGATATATCGTAAACCAATTCGCGATGATTACTTCATCGGGCAAATCCACTTTGAAAATATCAGTCAAAAAAAAATAATCAAAAATTATTAATCCATAAATAACTTACAGTATATTAATAGGGTATAGTTCGTCTTGGTATATTAAATACTATATTTAATGGAGATTCGAATGATATATCGTAAACCAATTCGCGATGATTACTTCATCGGGCAAATCCACTTTGAAAATATCAGTCAAAAAAAAATAATCAAAAATTATTAATCCATAAATAACTTACAGTATATTAATAGGGTATAGTTCGTCTTGGTATATTAAATACTATATTTAATGGAGATTCGAATGATATATCGTAAACCAATTCGCGATGATTACTTCATCGGGCAAATCCACTTTGAAAATATCAGTCAAAAAAAAATAATCAAAAATTATTAATCCATAAATAACTTACAGTATATTAATAGGGTATAGTTCGTCTTGGTATATTAAATACTATATTTAA